TATCAACAAGGCACTCTTCATGGTTTTTCCTTTGAAACTGCTGTTCCCCACTAAGGCCGAATAAATTAGAACTCTAAATAGGAATAATAATGAGAGCATACATTATTTCTGTTGTTGGTACTGGTTGATGTTGTTGTTGTTTGTGTCGGCAGGAAGGCTCAGATCTCCATATATGCAAAAAGGAAAAAAAAAGGTAACTTCCCCACATGCTTTACAAGTTTGGAGGATCATTTTAATGGTGACCCAAAAAGATGTCCTAGATATTTGGTGAACATCCTTTTGAAAAATTCCTGAAACTACAGACAGCGAAACAGAGGGAAGAGACGGAGAGAGAGAGAATGGAGAAAAGGCAGAGAAAAGATAGAAGAGGAAAAGATTTGATGAAATGGAACGCCTCCCTGTGTCGGGAATGACTTAGAAATTCAAACAATTCCCTGCAATGTCAGTCAAAAGCATTGTTCTATTTAGACGACAAAATGTTTGTTTATCTCCAGATCTGTACTCGGTATGGTAAGTACTTCCAGACCGAGTGAAAAATCATACGGAAGATTAACTATGACTAACCTGTGATACACTAACCTATGATTCAAGCATGATGCCCTGCTCTGAATGAGCATCTAGTCTCGGTGTGATCCTGCTGGCACTCCGCTTCAGGGAATTCCCTGATGTAATGTGGAAAATATATTCACACAAGAAAGCAAATCAAAGCTTACATTCCCCAAACATCTTGAGTCTTTTTAAGTTCAGCATATTGTTGTCTTTTGTATAACTGGTGTTTTTTACTACTTAAGATCAACTTTAACGTTACTTACTTGAACCGTTTATGACATGCAAAAGCAACTGTAAATATTCTGATAATATAACAATTCAGATTTATTTCATACTAGTCATTTCACATGTTATCCATTTCTTTGTTGTTTAGTTTGTCTTCCATGGGCTGGGAGAGATGATGCAGGAGTCAACTACATGCTTAGACTGTGTAGCTTAATGGTGTAATAAATGAAGTACTGTGAAAAATCATGGGCTCGTTTTTTGTCTTAATTTCACTTCATTGTTTTCAGTTATTCTACCTGCTTAAGGGCAAGTGCATACCATTTTAGAAAAATATTTTCTTTGACCCTGACCACATATTTTGAAGAAGTGCATCACTCCAGGAAATAAGGGAGGACAAATCCTTTCCCACAATGACATAAAATATTTGTAAAACACACACACACACACACACACACACACACACACACACACACACACACACACACACACACACAAAAGAAAGACACAAATTTAAAAAATTGATCGTGGCTCGCCTACATGTGGCAAATGTCTCAAAACTAGTAAATTCATTGTTTTCCTTCTATGTGCATGACACTCATTAGGGAGTCTACAGTGCTGCTGTTGTTTTCTTGCATAAAAATGATACAGCCTAGAGTGGAGCTACATCTATCTGAAAATGTAGACCTGACAATAATGACCTTATGTTCTGATCGGTTTTTTAAGTGTCAATGACTCAAGCCTAAAACACTGTTTTCTTAAAGAAAAAGCTTCTTGAGCATTTTTGTTAACGTTTTTGATGCGAAATTAATATACATCTGTGAATGATTGAAATCTGTAAGTCTTTTCTGTTCAAATCAACAATATAGAACCACATAAAACTGCGTGCTATGTGCTTAAAGTGATTGTTTTCTAGTACTTCTGCTGCTAACAAATGGGTCATTTTAGTGTAGGTAGAGGCTAATGTTGGTTTCCTCACCTCCACTGCCCTTTCTTCATAGAGACCGCCTCTGAAATTCCAACACTGACATGCAAAATACAGATAGCAGCTCTTATGCACTCACAGCACTGCACAAGGTGCTGCTGCCCTCAGCCCTAAACACAGAGCAGCTTCAGAGGCTGTGCACTTTCTAGAGTTTCCCTTTGGTAAGATGACAGGAATAAGATAAAATAATAGAATAAGGTCTATTTTATTCACCTTCGGGGAAATCCGTTGCATAAATAGGGACAGTGTCAACTATGGGTCACTGACCATTCACATTAATAAAGATCTAATTTCATTTTTTGCCTTGTCATGGTTTTCTTGTGGTTTAGTAAGACAAGTTTGTGTTCCTCCTGTTTCATGTGTGAGTTAGCTTTTGCTTGTTATCCTTTTCTACATCGTTTGGTTTGATTTTAGGTGATTGCTTTCACCTGTGTCTTGCCCACATTTATTTGTCTTATTTTAAGCTATCATCAAACTTATCAGACATATGTGTTAGGATGCATACAGTATGCATCTTGGTAATAATCCCCCTCTCCCAGACTTAGTCACAAGCTAAGTATGAGGTGCTACTGCCTGGTAGCACAAAGCACAGTGTGAAGCTCATGTGACTGTATTAACCTTTCAGACCAAATCTCCTGGAGTCACGAATGAGAGCGAGCGAGATCAGAAAGTAAAAGTTGAAGAGACTTTAAAAGCATTAAACAAAGAAAGCAGAGAACAAAACAATTGAGTTATGTCTTGTTGCTCCTCTGAAGCAACCAAGTCTCAGTTTCTATCTCTGGTTTGTTTTGACACAGAGTGTCTTTAATATGCAGAAGTGCAGATTTGGCAGTGAATTGTCAAGAAAATCAAAATGAAGCAGGGAGCACTGCACAGCACTACATGTGGCTTCAAAAGCAACACAAAGAACTACAGAGAATTCCACTGACACATTCTTATCATAAAATGATGTTTTGTTTTGTTTTTTAAAAAAAAAACATGATTATATCCATATTTGGTTTCATAACTCAGAACAGACCAATAGACTGATGAGTCTGAAAGATAATAAACTTGTAGATGAAGGAATCTTGCTGGTTCGATGACAGGAATTTATCATTTTGCCATGCTGGTCCTGTGGTGAAAGAATCAGTGTAGCCTTTGGTGAGGATCAGATGATTCATTGAAAAGCAAGATACATTAAAGCTTCCCAGAAGTCTTACTATTATTAGGCAGATCACAATGCAGCTACGGTATGAGCTATCAAAGGCACTACTTTTTCTTACAGAGGTCGAGGAATGGGGGTGGTGGTGGTGTGTGTTCTTGTGTCGCGGTGGGGTAAAAAAAATGTTACATTCCAGTACACACTGACGTGGGGGTGAATGAATAGAGGTATTTATGTTTAGTGAATGGCTCTAGTCATGCTACCAAAGTTGAGATGATAGCGAAAATCTAGCATGACGATAAATTGTGCTAATGAAATTACTCAGCTTATTTTAAAGTGTAAAGATGGAAAGTGCATACGATGTCATATAATCCAAACCACACTGAATATGCTCCATAGTGTGGTGTTTACACATTTGCCTGGAAAGCAAACGTTGCTGGTTCAATTCCAGCCAGAGATGCAAATCCCCTTTCGGGTTGTGTAAGCAAGGAGATCTGGTGTAAAACTGCTGTGGTGACCCTTCTCACTGGGTCAAGAGAGCAGCAGAAGGTTTCTTCATCAAAATCTCATTGACTTGGATTTGCTGGGTTTTTTTTGGTCATGTTTCTGTCTTCTTAGGCAGTACATTGGTCTTATTTCTTCAGCTAAGATTACTATTTACTAATGATTGATCTCAGTTTGAAACTAACAAACTTCACAGACATAGTGCTGTGTGCTGTTTTTTGAGCTATGGCACTGACATCAGCATGCTACAATCAGAAAGTTTGACCGTTTTGCATTTATAGTTTGCAAAGCACAGTGAACAAATTCAAGCATTAGCAAAATTTGATGGTCATCCGATAAATTAGTTGGTCACTGTAGATTATTTGTCTCTTTACTCAAAGACATAAATCTGAATCTCCTAATGTCAATAGAGAACATCAGAGGCAAGCAAAGTCATTAGGATGCATGCATGAATAGAAAGACACAAATGGCTGTTGATCACCACAGTCAAGCTTTACATGCATCCAACCATCCAAAAAGTCCTGAGATATTGCTGTCTGTAACATAGAGGTGGACAACCTAAGCAGCCCTAGATATATGGAGGTAGCATGTGATAAACTAGGTGTAGTAACAGAACAATGTTTGGTTACTTTATTCGGCTGTTGTACTTTTACAATATGGATATGCATGCTTACTTCAATGACTGTATGCATATAAAAAACAAAACTATCCAAGTGGGTGTTTGGTGCTCTTGGAGTGCCTCTGTGATGCTAACCTAGACATGAATATAAATAAACTGCATAAAAAAAACCCACCTAGGGATTTTTCATTGCCTCTAGCCATACACTATGTGCATTCACAGAAACAACCCAATTAATGAAACACCTGCTTCCAATTTCCTTGGATTTCCACACTAATCATGCAATCAAGAGACTGAATAGAAACACCCTAGATGCAACAATAGGAAACCATAAGGCATCACTGTGCTGTTCGACATCCTAGCTGTGCACATCGGACTGATAACAGAGAACTGGGCATCTTAGTAGAAACAAATGCTTTATATAATAAAAAACCTGGTAACATAAGGGATTTTTTTCACTCTGTAAACTAACTCATTAAATATTTTTAAATATTGTGAAATTTTGTTTGTAGTCTTTTGGGCTCCAACTCAGCTCTGCTTTCTCTAGCACTGTTTCAGGCCTAAATGGTTGCATCACTCACACTCTCCTTATAATTGCTCCTCCAGAGTTCACTGTGTGTGTGACATGCCGTCCATGCTTCACCACAACCCTTGTAAGAGCCTCAAAACCATTTAGCGCTGCGGTGCTACTTCACCTAACGACACCATAGGGACACCTGGTGGTACAGAGAAACCTTGAGGTGACAATATTTAACATGGCAATGTTTGTTTTCCACCCTCCCTCATTTCTTCGTCACCTGCTGGGATCACACTCCATTTGGGTATTTGCAGTCCAACCATCCGGAGTCTCAGTGTATGTCTTGTGATGGTGTACACACTCACACTTGGCATTTTGAGCAAGATTTCTAGAAACAAAAGACATTAAAAGGATCTTCCTGGAAATTACTGTGATTGCTTTGGAGTACACATTTGGAGTACACATGGAGTACTGCGCTTTGAAAGGATTCCTAGTGGTTTTAATAATACAAGGTAGGGAGGTAGTAGATAGGTGTGATTATGTATACAGAGATGTTCTGATGAATGAGTCACAACTGCTTACTGATTCCAAACCACTAGTTTAATTAACTATAATCTACAAAATGAATAAATAATAGTATGACAAAGTGAAGGAACAAGTATAAATAGATGTGTTTAGATTTGATTCACTGGCAATCTGAGATAATGCTACCACATATACTTTATATGTTCATTACATGTGAAAATGTCATGCATATTATATACAAAGATGTAGTAACTAGTCCTTAGGTATATTAAATTATCAATATTCATCACTATCAAAAAAAAAATTAAATGTCATTAAACGTACTATATTCCCGTTTGTTCACTGTGTCCTTAGGTCTGATGACCTCTATCCAGTCCTCCACTGAGGGCACCCACTATGGACGGACCTCACCACAGGAACCAGAGCTAACCTCTGCAGGGGTGGCACCAGCAGTACTGTCCCCTCCTAGCCTGAAGGAGGTGCAGCAAGCTGTGCAGGAAGCCTCAGAGCAAGTGGAGGGTCGTAGGACAGAGGAAGTGCTGAAACAACTGCTGGAGAAGGTGGTGGAGGTCGCTCTCGGACAAGCGGATGGAGGGAGTGATGCAAAAGTGGATCCGGGCACAGTCCAGAAAGCAGCTGAGGAAGAAGCTGACTTTGAGGCAGAAGTGCTGGAGCAGAAAGTGGAGGATGAAAATATGGGCATCAGTGAAGAAGATGCTGGTGTTGAAGAGAAGCAAGATGAAGCAGGGGTGGATGCATCTGAAGATGTAACTGATAGAGGAGTTGTCATGGAAGAGCATGAAACAGCAGCTGGATCTGTGGAGAAAACCACAGCAGGTGTAGAAACTGGAGTCAGAGAAGCAGACACTGTGAGGGTTATTGATGAGACTCTAGGAACTGAATTCAGTGATGAGGTTGTAGAAGGAGTTGGAGCCACTTTAGACGAGACAGGAGAGGATTCAGCTGTAATGGCAAAAGTTCAGGAGGACAACAAAGATCAGGCTGTGCTGTCAGAAGAAAAAGGTGCAACACTAACAGAAATACAGGAGACAAAGGAAACTCTGGATGTTGAGGAGGTGGCAGTACACAGAGAGCCTGAACTCAATCTTGGAGAGGCTGATGTGGAACAAATAGGAGATAAGAAAGAAACTTGGCTAGACAAAACAGCAGGTGAGACAATAGCGCTGCTTTTGGACAATTATCAGATAGAAGCCACACAAACTGCAGTCAGAGAGCCAATACTTGAGGAGGAAGATGTAAACATAGCTAAAGAGCCAGATGGACCAGAAGAAAAACAAGAACAAGGTCATTTAGTGGAGGAAGGAGCTTCAGTAGAGGTAGAATTAGGAGGTACAACTGTGGGGGAAGCAAAAGTAGATGACAGAGATGGAGAGAGCGTGATCAAGAGGAAATCAGTGGTGCTCGTGAATAAAAGAGATGGCCAAAAAGAAGAAGCAGAAGAGGAGCAGCTTGCTTCGGAGACTTCAATTGACAGTACAAAAAAGGATCAAGGTGAGGTGGAGTTGCAAAAATGTAGAAAATGCACAGGAACTGAAGTGTAACCTACACTAAGAAATAAGGTTTCAGTCTATAATCTTTCATCTTTTAGACAGAGTAAGTTTTATCTGTCATATTAACTTTAATCTTAGTTCATCTGTCTCTGTTAAATATCTGAAATGCAGAATATCTAGAACCAGCTCATAATTTGGGTCACAAAAACTTAAAACTGCCATGGTCTTTAAAATTGCATTTGCATAAGACTCAGCAGATTTGGTTGAGCATTGCATTGTGTGCATCATAACATACTTAAAGACCTTAAATTAGGACTATAACAGCTTTTAGTGCAACAAAAAAGGCTGGTTACTAGACTATGTCCGAAAACCCCTATAATGTAAATAAGAATATTTAACACTGGCTAGTCCTGCTCTGTTTACTCAGAAAATCTGACATTTCTACTCTGAGTACATTGATACAAACATGAATCCTTTACCAGTTTAATCCTCCATTCCTCTACGGTCATTGGTCATTGAGACCTATGCAAAAAAGAAAAGACACTTTCTGCTACAAATGCATACAAATCACGACCCACCAGGGTCTTTTAGCTATGGCACATCTGTACTTTATTCTACATTCCACTGCTCCACTTGACAAAACCTTAGTCTAGGCCTCTACTCTTCATTTTCATGTGTGTGTCACATACTAAACCTCACTTCTAGATGTGGTGGGGATCTCTGGCCCAGAACCTGATGGTGGTGCTGAAACCACCATATTGCAGAGCTCTGAGAACCAGGCTTCCACTGTGGATTTATTCCTCATTGATGTGGAGACTGAAGAAAGAAACCTAGATGATGAGAAATTTAACAGCAATGAGATCATCACCCCGACCAATGACCTTTCCCTGTATGACCCAGCTGATGCCCATCCTACACTGGATAATTTTATGAATGATGATCTAGCCGAACACCCGAGGACTGAAGGAGAGGCATTGGGGGAGACCAATGAGCTAGTTAAAGATCCAGGTAAAAGCTAAACTTACAGTATAGATAACTATGTATTTTACATAGCCCAAAGACATGCATGGTAGATTGATTGGTGATTGCAATGTGGTCTTTGCGTTTGCCCTGGGACTGACCTCTCTAGGCTTTGTTGCACCTTTTTGTCTGTGTGTGTGTGTGTGTGTGTGTGTGTGTGTGTGTGTGTGTGTGTGTGTGTTTTTACAGCAGTCTTACAATAGCAGCTGTAACTTTTCCCTCCAAAAGTCATATATTAGATTTGCTGTAGTTCTCAAACACTTTTAGAAACACATCCTAGGCTATAAATAGTTTGGGAAATATTCAACAGGAGATTTGTTTTTTTCCACATTAAAAACTTGGGCAGAATAAAGAAGAAGAAAACAGATCATTATCATGATTCTGCCAGCAAAATATGCAGATGGCCAGCTTGATGTTTTTCCATTCCACTGAGCAATTGTGCAGGCTAACTATACCCTAACTGGTGGGGGAAGACCAGAAAGTTTGGACCCTCCTGTCACACAGGCTACAACATGCTGTTTTCTGCCTCTTGTATTTGCTTCATATTTTTTGTAGGAGCCAGTGCCATTAGACACATGCCAGTTTGGGCTGGCACAATTTTACTGGCAGATTGTTTAAAATGACGTAGCGGTGGCAAAAAACAAAAGGTCTTTTCTTCTATGAAAAACCATCATGTATAATTAGACTGCACATATCCATATAAGAGCTTCCTGTTTGTACATTTGCTGGACACTTTGACATACTTGTGGCTGCCCATCAGCCACAAGTATGTCAAACTTTGTATTAAATCTAATGCTTCCACCTGCTCTGCCCTGCAATTTATCTCTCTCTGCCTTATTGTATCTGTTTAGAATCAACTGAATTAGGCTTGGAACCATGGAAAATCGGAGCTGTTACTGCTGCAGTTTTCCTGGTTTTGCAGACTGCTGTCATCATTATCTATATCGTCAAACGTAGTCACAAAAACAAGTAAGTTGCACCAGCTTCTGTGTACTTGATCTACAGGAACATTGATTCAAAACAGTTCTTTTATAGCCCCTGAGTTCCTAAAATTACAGCTCTAATCTTTGCTTGTTAGCAAAAATGCTTTTCTTGTTAATCTCTGGCCAGCAGTATTCCTTTAAAGCCTGCCTTCCATTATTATGCTTTGATTAGGTTAGACTACACATCAAACAGCCTCATTTTAGAGTACATTTCTTTTACAACACAAATTTGTACAATACCATTGCATGAATATCTGTCTGACTCAGTATTTGTAAAGCAGACTCCCCTCCTTTTTTAATTACTTTTGTGAACGTGAATGCAACTAACATTTGTTGCATTTGCACTAGTGTCAGCCACCTTCCACTTCTTTTTCTCTGATATCCGAAACAAACCATTTGATTGCTACCTGTAACAACAAAAGTGCTACAATCACAGATGGGACTCAGAGCAGAACTGGCACATGATTGCTTTAGATGTTGCCTGAGCTCAAGGTAACATTTCAACACTGATACATGATGAAATCAGACCACTGTATCCAGTGTTGGGTCAGAATTTCCTCCTCTGTTCACAAAAGAGAATGGTCTTGCTTCAGTTATATACTTGGCTACTTTTTTATTTCTCTACATGACTCATTGCAACGTGCAGTTAATTTGTAGAAGGTCAAGAGTAAGCAAGAAGAGCAATAATAGTGATAAAGGGATATTGTTTATGTGTTTGTGTGCGTGCAGCAGCCTGCCCCGACAGCGTGCATGTGAGGAAGAGTGTGTTGAACCAGAGGCAACTACAGGAGATGACTACAGTGATGATACACTGCCTGCGGGCAATGGTGACCCTCAACAGTATGTTCTCACCAGTGTTTCTTGCAGTGTTATAGATGCGTACAGCACACATGAGAGTATCTGCAAAAATAAAGGAAAGGGACAACATTAAGAGTCATAAAATGCTGCCAGAATTGTGTCATTTTGCAATCTAACACAACCTAACACACAATCTTCCACAGGTGTTTATTTGACTTGAGATCTGCTGACTGCAAAGTCGCATTCAAAACATTTAATATACAGTGTTCACATTCTTCTTTAAGCCTGGCCTTTTTCTCTCTTCCCAACCTTTTTATTTTTTCTTACACTGCTCAAAAGAAAATTAAGGTAATGCTTCCTTTTCACAGTATAACACAGAGCCAGTTAAACTTCAGGGACATCAATCTGTCTTGTTAGAAATCATAAACCATTGTGAATCCAATTCACTTGCTTTGGTGCAAATGAAAATGACAACAGGCGTACTGCAGAGGCAATAACAAGACTCCCTAAAAACAGAATGGTTTTCTTACCCCCCCCTCCTCCCTTTTTCCTAGTTTTTCTATTTGTTAGTGTCCTTGTTACTGCTAGTAACATGAGACAGTACCAGCAGTCAATTCAGGACACATCCATGCTTTCCACCATAAGAAGGTTCACTGTGTCTCCCTGTACAGTCTCAGAACTGAGAAAGAGATACTGACCATTACACAAGAACAGCTTTGCAGGGCTTCGACCCAGTAGCATGACTGGTATCAGCTCTTTTGCATGATAGGACCACTGCAAGAGCCCTACAAAATGATCTCCAGTGGGCTACTGACCAGACTCCATGGACATGGCATGCATTAAGTGATCCCTTAACTTTTTTGAGCTGTGCATTTATACAAAGTGACATCTCTTAAACTATTTTAGGACTGACAAGCAAGCAGAAGGTGCAAACAACCTTCACAGATGCGGAATTAAAATGGAATCTTAACTTTAAACTTTAAAAATAATCGAATGCAACAAAGCTTAAATTTTATTGGCAGCCTTCGCTAGGCTTCATCACAGATTACAAGATACAAGATTTCACTGATTTCTTTCCTCAGCTACACTTACTTACTTTTCCATTGTGACCTGCCTAAATATCATGTACTGACCTGCATAGGAGGTCAGGAGCCACCAGTTGTGTGCTTCTCAGCTGATTCCCTCTTGGCGCTTTTATAGTGTAATAGCCCCGGGATTCTGCTCAAAATGTCACATGAGAATGTGAGTCCCGTGAACCAAGAGCATTACTGGCTAATACCACTGCTTTTGCTAATCAGACCGGTGGGCTTGGCTCAGTAATTAAGCTACAGTTGTGCGCTTGCAGTGAGAGACCATGTGAAAAATATGCATGTGGTGACAATCAACTGTAAACAAAAAATACTAAAAATTCAGAGATTTTAGAGATTGAGAGTCTGTGTATTTGTGTGTTGCTTCAGCGAGTGAATGTGTATAAGACACAAGTAGAAATGTGATGCCTGCCTTGCACAGACAATAACAAAGCAACACTGAATTATTAAACAGTCGACACAGTAATTTTGAAATGTGTCCTTGTTAAGAGACTTTGCAGCAGCAGTGACAATCCAGTCGTCATCAGAAGAACCTAAATTCCTGTTAATAGAAAACAAAATTTGCTTTTTAAATACTTTTTTGGTTTTTAAACTCTTTAGCAATAAATGTTTCCCCCAAAAAAACTATTTCAAGAGTCAAGGTGGCTGTAAACAACTGTACCTGAACAAAAGATGCTGGGACAAAGTCTTTGGTATTGCATTGAACTTGGTGTCCATGAGGTTTCACTTGAAAGGACGGCATCTGTCTTTGACGCACAATTCAGTGGGTGCTTGGCTGAAATCATAGCCGCAGAAAAAAGATCGTACTTCATTATCCTTGGAACTTCAAGCAAACAGCTCAACAAAAAACAAAAACAAACAAACAAAAAACTCCACAGTGCTCTAAAATTATTTTTCAGTGAGCTTTAAACTGTAACCCAAATCCAGCTCCTGTCTGAGTGACTGGTAGTTTCAACACGATCACCTTTAGCCTAGCTATTTCGGCCTAACAGGCCCCACTCTCTTATTAAGTCTTCCCATCCATATTGAATGTTTGCCTGCCACACTTGAATGCATGATGCACATCACCTTGAAAGTCAGAGACAAGAGGACAGAAATGTCTTAATATCCATTTGACAATAACCAACGTAAACCTCACCCGAGCCCAACACAAAACCCAAAGCAGCTGTGTGAACATTAAACTCATCAGGCATTCTGGGTAACGTGCAAATATTCAGCACCCAGGCAACATAATGGAAATGCTCTTAGGACAGCCGCATTGTTGCCCTTGAGGGGTAGTCTACTAGGACGTATTAAAAATTTCAGCCAGGACGGTATCCCCTGCAATTATTCAATAATGTCAAGTGATCTGTTTGTATCTAGGTGTGTCATTAGCTCCCAGGTATCTCATTTCAGCACAGTTTGTAAGCTTCTCCATCTGGTGTGGAAATCATTAAATAAACAGACCTTCCAGTGAGAATATTAGCATTCGCTTAGAGCGGCATACTTAACAGCAGTTTGACAACCATTACGAACAAGCCATTTGAAAGTGTGTTCCGATTTCATCGCTTGAAAGGTGCCTGTCTTTGTTTTTGCGTGAAGCAAAATAGATTTTCTCATTTGTGTGAAATTTATCCCATTTTCCTGCTAGCACTAACCTAATATTATACCATTGTACAACAATGTGAGTTGTTCCTGTTATCAGACGGCTGTATATTTTCTCCTTTTTTCCTGTTTCAACTGGTCTAATCACTGCCAACTGCTCTTTTGTCCTTTCCACCAGGATGGCTGCAGTTGACCCAGCTAATATGGCTTCAACCCTGGCCAAAATAAATGACCAGCAAGGAGATGAGCATGCAATAGCTATGTCAGACCTCCCACCCAGCTCTACAGATGAGTGGGCCAATATTGGACCAGGACCAAATTCCTCACAAGACCTCAGGACTTCCTTTCTCTAGGGGGTCCAACTGTTTCCTCATTCATGCTATATCTAAATTAAGCTCAGTGAGCACAAAAATTTCATACCCTAACCAAACCCAGTAGTGACTGTCTCACATTCCCAAGTGTATTAACTACTGTATAATCATCTTACACTTAGTGCATATGACTTTATTTGTGTTTTTGCATGTGTAAATAAAATAAAAAAAAGCCTAACAATTTTGGATTTTGGCATATATGACTGTGTGACTGAGTGAACAGAGAAACGTGTGTTTGAAAATACTGTGTACATGTGCAAGTGTGCAAATGTGATAAACCTTTTATGTATCTACTGCTGTCTAGTAGTTTGATGTCTATAAACACTTTAGGCTGCACTGGAATTGTTGAGCAATGGTTTTCAAAGTGGCCACATCGCTCATGCTGTACAAAGCTGCTGAACTGCCACGAGCAATCATCCCATTTTATCAGCAAGTCTGAAGTCTGAGAATGCTGGCTGCAACATGAAGTGCCTCATCTGAAAAGTCTTTAAAATGTAAAACGATTTTTAAAAAATGGATTTGTTTTTTATTCTGCGTCAGTCTTGACTTGTGTATTATAAGTTTTGCTTTGAGTAGAACAAAATTAAGTGTCCAAAGAAGCAACTAGATCCATAAACTCCAGTGCCGAGTTCCACTGGCCACCACACACCACAACCCTGCCCCTATCATAATTTTCTCTTCCCGTCATTCTTCTGCAAGTTTATCATCTGACCTTTTTTTTCTCAGAACTGTGCAGGCTCTTTCAGAGGATTTCTAAAAAACACTCATCTGACCTTCATGTTCTTGAGTGTAACCGGTGGTTTGAACCTTGTTGTAAACCCTCTGCGTTTCATGTTTGTAGACGTTAACAATGATATCACTAATATTTTGAGAGTGTTCCCAGCTTGGTTAGATTTTTTTAAGTTGTTTTTCTTAACAGTTGAAATAATTCTGTCATCATCCACTTTATGCATGGTCTTTCAGGCCTCTTGGGTTAGCTGTGTTGGCAAATGCAGAAATCCTTTTTAGAATGCACCAGATTGTTGATTTGGCCACTCCTAAAGTTTTTGCTGTCTCTCTGTTAGATTTATTTAGATTTTTTTCAGAGTGATAAGTACCTCCTTGTCTACAGAGAAAAGTGACAAAAATACAAACTTAGGACTTTGAATCAACTTCAGATATTATGTTTGCTTCATTTATCATGAAATAACAACAAGCGACCAGGCCTCGTGTCACCATGAAACCGCTTGTCAGTCAATTGTCCAATTATTTTTAAGCCTTTGAAAACGAGGGACTGTGCATAAAATTTGCTGCATCTCCTAAAGTGCTAGTGTAAAAATACTGTAAAACTGCTGGAATTAAAGCTAACAGTCTGTACTCAATCACGTCTTGATTGCTTAATTTGAAAATCGTCTTTTGGAGTGTACAGAAACAAAGTGAAAACAAACAAAAACAAAACAAAATTATGGAACTAACTTCTACTTACGTACATGATTTACATAAATGTAGAACTTGGCTAAAACCCCAGAAATTTTCTCTTGTAAGACTTCAGCATGAATGTCATCAAATATTTGTGTGAGTATCCACAGTCTGGCGTCATTTGGTCCATGATCACAAGGTTCATGAATGAGTTTTTGAAAAAACTCAAGTACCCTCAAGTGTACACGTGTGTACGGTATGTGTGTGTGTGTGTGTGTGTTTCTCCTTGCACAAGCTCCACAAAGGCCTGCTCATGTGCTCAATAGCTATTTAAGACAGAGAAGGGCAACGGGCTGATTCTTGGGGGGGACTTCAGTTCTGCAAACAGAGGAGCAGCATGTACAGTCAGAGGTAGGGGAACAAATGATACTGATTCCTTTTTCACCAAATGAACTGTAGAATCCAAAAAGTCATACAACTCGGCGGTATGACTGACTGCTTTAGCGCCTTTACAAATTAAAAGTGCATATTGGACTAATGCGCTACATCTTTGCAGATGAAGTGAAGTTTTGTCTCATATGATGTTACAGAGCAGATTTTCACAGAACCCAGCAGGTGATGCCGACTAGTTAAGTCGTGCATTCAAATATTTGTAATATGCTCAAACATGTGGAGCTATTCCCCCTTTTATATTGGTAACATTTCTTAGGTGCTGTTTTGTTGTTAAATAATTGCTCATAATAATTACAAATTATTAGCCACTCCTTCATTCATTTCTAATCAACAAACTTCAAAAGGCACAAAAGGCATGCAAATCTAACTGCAAAAAAAAGGAAGAAAAAAGAAAAAAGGTTCAAGCAAATCATTGCCTGCTGTCTATTGTTGAAAGCATTTCTGAACTTGTAAGAGTTGAAAGCTAATGGCTTTGTGAATTATAAATAATGACTTGTGCTGCCTGCAGGGATGTGTAAGAACTGAAGTTTTGGAATAATGTTAAGACAATTGGCTTTAACAAGAGAACACGTACTGAGTAAGTTGTTCTAGAGCTTAATTTCAGTGGATGTGGCGTGTATGTGGGGATGTTTTTTTTTTAATCTTCATCTTGCTAAATGTGTTCTGGGACGGTCACTGGTCCTTCACAACCGTGAACAAGACAAGTCCTTTCAAAAAGAAGGAGGCCTGTATAACAGCAATTCTCAACATGTAAAAGATTTCCACGCACTTTGTTCCAACCTTGTTCTCACATCTAAATTACTGCATGGCCCTAAAAAACTCCTTACTTCACCTCATTCTCTACTTTATCAGCTTGTGGAGTGTGGGTTTGGTGGGGACCTTGTGTGCCACGCTCACCTTGGCCCAGTTCCCAAGGGAGTGTGTCACTCCTGAGGGGCTGCAGAGCGGCCAGTGCTGCCCATCCCCTGCAGGGGTAGCAGGAGACGAGTGTGGCTCCAGCACAGGAAGAGGCCAGTGTGTGACCATTGAGGCTGACAGTCGGCGCCATGGACCTCAGTACCCTTATGCCGGGCGCGATGACAGAGAGAGGTGGCCGCTGAGATTCTTCAATCGCACTTGCCGGTGTAATGGGAATTTCACCGGCTACAACTGTGGGCGATGCAGACACGGGCTAACTGGACCAAACTGTGATCAGAGGATCTCTGTGGGTAAGAGAGCAGATGCTTTTTTACGACCTAAAAATTCACGACGACTTAAAATTTCTATCTTCTACCGTGTCCTTCAAGATTTCACAGGTCTACATCAGCCTGGGGAATGAAGGCAGCATTTATTGCTAGGAGCAGGAAAAAAGTGTTAATTTTTAATAGCACTTTCTTTTCTCTACTCTTCCTTCGTTTCCCCCACACTTTAACAACACTTCATTCTCTCTCTTCACCCCATTAACTTCTCCCCAGTAAGGAGAAACATCATGCAGATGAGCACAGCTGAGAAGCAGGCGTTTGTAAATGCTCTGGATCAAGCTAAGAGGACTGTCCACCCTGACCTCGTCATCTGTACAAGACGGTATATTGAAAAAATAACATGATAATCAAGCTGAATACAATTAGATGATTTTAAAGGGTTGATTTTTACCTTGTAATTCTCTGGTCAACAGTGATTCTAAACACAGTATGTTTTGCCCAAGGACCTGCACGCTCAGACTCAGCTGAGTCGGTTGAAAGAAATATATGTGCAGTATCTGTGGCTGAGCCACATGCTGTGTTTTTGAAATTATTTGTAAAATCAGAGGATTTCTCATGGCAGCTTTCTTTAAAAGCTGTAGAAAGTTGAGCAAATGATCACTTTTGGCACGAGTAAAGGGAATTACAGTCTTCTGAATCTGTGAATAACCTCCTTCTAAATCAGCTGAGGACTGCAATTGGTTAATTTTTGAAGCCATTCTTGACTGCAGCTCAAAGAAAATCTCTTAACCTCTGGATCAGACAATTAAAATTCCCCTTGTTATTAATGGTCATGCTCAAGATTCTTAGTTACATGCCACATAATGCATTGCAGCTACAGAGAATAAAATATGTATTAATATCTATATATCCATTAGTGAGTTATTCACCAGTACCATCCCCAAGTTCTGAAGCCGTGTTTGAATGGATCAGTGAAAACAAAATTGTGAAAAACACTTTGTAGAGCTACTAAGATTACAAAGCTTTATGCAACAGCAGAGCATTTAACACATGCATAGTTCATCTAAGGCCACGCATTCTCTTACTTCAAATCAATCAGGGTGAATTTGGAGGATTCAGGCAGGGCAATGTGGAGGAAAAAATACAACGTGACATTCATCCTTTATCTTTAGGTACCAGGAGTTGTTTGGGCCTGATGGCAACACCCCACAGTTTGAGAACATCACCATTTATAATTACTTTGTTTGGAGTCACTACTACTCTGTCAGTAAGACGTACCTGGGGCCAGGCCAGACCAGCTTTGGAGGTGTAGACTTCTCCCACGAGGGCCCAGGTTTTGTCACCTGGCATCGTTTTCATCTGCTGCAACTGGAGAGAGACATGCAGGTGAGCAGAGAGAAGGCAGGGAGAAAGAGGGGTGGTAGTGGAAAAGAGGAGAGACAGCAAGCTTCTGGGCTGATAAAGAAATGGATGAGGAGGTTAGGATAGGAGGAGTGGTGATGGAAAAATAAAAGATCTGACACTGAGTGAAAAGCTAGCCGGAAGGAGAATGGGTTAATGCAAGGAGGAAATAAAAAAGGCAAAACAAAAGCAGGAATATATAGGAAGGGGACAAAAAAATAGGGCGCATAAAGGACAAAAAGAAAAAGGACCAACCTGCATATTTTTCTAATAAACAATTCAAGAAAGCAGTTTGTTTACAGACAGTCCTTCCCTGAACACCTGCCTCCTTCCCCTGTTCGATCTTCACAGGACATGCTGGGCAACCCCACCTTTGCCCTGCCCTACTGGAACTTCGCCATTGGAGGCAGCGAATGCGACATCTGCACAGATGACCTGCTGGGAGCCAGGAGCACATTTGATATGAGCTCCATCAGCCCCAACTCTGTGTTCTCACAGTGGAGGGTCATCTGCGAGAGTGTGGATGACTACGACACTCTGGGCACCATCTGCAACAGTAAAGACAGTCACGGAAACACACACTATACCTCGCCGTGCAGCCGAGCGCTGCTGACATACAGCATCGTCTCAGCTGCATCAGAAAAGAGGGCAAAGAGCTCATAAAGAGAGCATGTAGAACATAGGCTGCTATAAATAATAGCTCACAGCTGT